CTCCTGTGCTCCCCGGCCTCCCCGGCTCCGCGCCCTGCGCTGCCGCCCCCGCTCCTCTCTCGGCGCTCAGCACCTGCTCCGGCGCCAGGCTGTTCCTTGGGCGCCGCAGAGCCTCCTCTGTACGGATCTTGCCTCTCCTCTGCCCTCCCTGGGGCTCCCTCGAGCTTCCTAGGGCTCATCGGCCAGGCCCCGGAGGAGAGGTATAACTAGAGACTGTCCGCCTGGGGAGGCCTGGGCGCACACAGCTAAGGACGCCGAGCCCCAGGGCGCAGAAGTCCGAGAGGGACAAGCAGGTGTTTCTTCCTCCCCAGCCCCTGCTATTCTTAGAATTAAACCGTCCAGCCCAAGAGCATCTGGTCGCCCTGTGCCTCCTGCCCAGGTCCCCACACTCCCAGGGGAGCCCTGGCTGGCTTTGCTCTCGAGTGCCCTGCGGAGAGCGCAGGAGCGGGGGAGGATAAAACACGGACGGACGCTGGGAGCAGAAAACTGAGGAAAGAGGAGGGATGCAAACATGGGCAGGGGGGCCAAGCGGTCTCGGGCTGCCCCCTTCCCAGGGCTAGGCAGCGACTGCCTGAACCTAGTGCCTCTGAGTTTTCCCGACAAAGAGGCCTTCCCAATGGACCTGGGCACTCCCCCCATCAGGCGAAAACTTGGTTCCAAAGGCGGATGAGAGGGCTGAAGGCTCAGGCCTGGGCCACCCGAACCAGAACACACTCTCTCACTCCATGAACTCACACCCAGCCCCTAGCCCCCTCGCCTGTCAGCACCAAGGGCCCTGCCCCTGCTCTACACCAGGCCCAGCACCAACCCAGGCTGGGTAGGAACACAGCTTTCTCGTCAGGGCTCTCACCCAACTCTTCCCTTCCCTCTTCCCTCCCTACTTCGTTCTCCTTTCTCCATTTTTCCTTGTAGTTATTTTTCTTCCTACTTTCCCCAGGCCCAACTCTGCTGACTGGTCAAACCCGGTACAACTTTGTGGCCAACTTGCCAACAGCAAAACTGCTCCTGCCCGCTTTGCAAGTTAGTGAACCCAGGGGCTGCTCCTTAGCTGGGGAGGCCGGGCCAACACTCACGCCTCTCCACTCCCAGCCGGCTCTCCTGCACTTGATCGGGCAACTGGCAAAGCTGTGGGAAGGAGGGCCGCTGCATGCTGGCCACCAGCCTTTTCCCTGTGTGGCAGGGACCCAGGTCAGGGTCCTCTCCCTGACATTGGTGGATCCCTCCCCGGTATGTGCAATGCAGGGACATAAGAACCAGGCGGCAAGGAGTACTTTCTTTCCTCCCTTCCCTGTCTGCAGGCTCCCCAGGAGCCCTGAGCGTGGGACCTCTCAGAGGCTGGGACCAGCGGCTGTGGGCACTCGGGATCTCACACACACCCTCTCCACCCAGATGAAAGACCCTCGCAGGCAAAGCAATCAGGAAACTCCAAGTCTGTCCCCCTTCCCCGCGCCTGGGCCGGCGGAAACTTTCTCCAACTGGCCAGGGAGTCGAGCCTTCTCTGGAGAGCTCGGCAGCCGCTGGCCCCCTGACCCGCCGGCCCCCATTTCAACCCTCCTCCCTCTCCCGGGTCCCGGAGACGGTAGCCGGGCCGCGGGCGCCCCGCCACTGACCTGTTCTTGGCCGCCGCGGCGCGGTCGCGCTGCCTCCGGTTCTTAAACCAGTTGCCTACTTGTGTGGGAGTGAGGCCGGTGGCCTGCGCCAGTTCGCGTTTCTTGCTGGGGTTGGGGTAGGGGTCCTGCAGGTACCATTCCCGCAGCAGGCTCCGAGTCCGCTCCTTGAAGCAATGCGTCTTCTGCTCGCCGTCCCAGATGGTGCGCGGCAGCGGGAACTTCTTGCGCACGCGGTACTTGTCCACCGGGCCGAGCGGGCGGCCGCGCAGCTTCTCGGCCTCCTGGTAGTGCGCCTCGAGCCACATGGCCTGCAGCTTGCCGTGCGACTCCTTGGTGAACTTGTGGTTCTCCAGGATGTGGTACAGGTCGCGGAAGTTCCCCGTGTGGAAGGCGACCACGGCGCGCGCGCGCAGGATGGACTCGTGCTTGTTGATGGCCTCGCACGCCCCGGGGGCCACGGGCAGCGACCAGAGGAAGCGG